ATGTTTAGAATATTGGTTTTAGAGTTGTTTTATTTTATACATCAGAAAGTAAAAAAATTCATGTTATCTGTGGTTCTGATGATGGTCAAATCTATTTACATAATTTACATGTATCCGGTGCTAAACCAACAATTCTACAAGGTCATATGAGTACAGTCACTTCACTTGTTCTTCACAATGATCATACTTTAATCAGGTAATATTATATGTGATATAGATCGATCAGAAGGTTTGTCAACATATCGACTTGTCCGACATCTGATCTATGTATTGTTTAGTCGTAATAAATTGGTTTGAGATAATTAGATATCAAAGAAAAACTCATCTCATAATCGATACTTTTAATTTTAGTAATCTATATTTTTTACCTAAAAAAGATTTGCATAAAATTGAAAGAAAAATAAATAGCATTTTGCCAATCTTCCTTGTCTATCATTAACTAGGGTTTCGAATTTTAATCCGTATTTGACTCTAGATTCGTGGGTGCGTCGGATATGACGCACCCTTCATACTTCTAAAATTCTTTCACAAAACGTCCCCTGCTATCTATTTTAGGACATCACATTACTTCACCATCTTTTTACTTAATCCTTCAAGAATGCAATTAGAAATTAGTTCAAATATCATACCAAGATTTTATTGATAGACGACCTGTGAAGAAAGCGGTTCAATTTTTTACCCGTATGCTTCAACATCCCTTTTTATATCGTGTTTTATAAAATTGCTTACGCACCGCCTTCTTTTTTCTCTGGGATTCAAGCACTCTGTGCTCTCTTCCTGTGCTGAGTTACACATCTGTTCAGATACATGATTTGTTCGTTCGATGAAAGTAATAAAAAGTTAGTTTTATTTAATTTTAAGTTCTGGTCGTGATCGTGTTGTCATTATATGGGATCTTCAAACTCAATCATCCATACGTACTATTCCTGTTATGGAGGTTTGTTAAATCATGATTGTTTTTTTATTGAATTTAAAAAAAAAACCTTTCTTCCAGTCAGTTGAAGCACTCATTGCACTACCGTCTTTTGATTATCTTAAACAATTAAAAATTAAACAAACATTTGCTCCAAATGAACCATTATTTTTTACATTTGGTAATTCAGGTTTAATTAAATTATGGTCAGGAACAACAGGTCGTTGTTTATTAATTCAAGAAGATAAAACACATGAAAAAATTACTGCTAATTCATATGGTAAAGATAAAGAACATGAACAAGTTTTTCTTAATGCTTATTTTAATGAAACAACACGTATGTTTTATACAAATACAATTGATCATAATATAATTGCATTTAATATTAAAAAATTAAAATTGGAAAAACAAGTAAAATAAAATCTTCTTTTTTTTACTGCATAAATATATTCTTTTTGTCTTTTAAAGTTTATTGGTGAATTAGGTGATGTTCTTGATGTTCGTTTTCTTAATGATAATGATAATAATCCATCTCATATTATTGTTGCTAATAATGACGAAAAAGTGAAAATATTTGATTTAAATACATGGCATTGTCAAATGCTTAAAGGTCATACTGATATTGTTATTGGTTTAGATATTAGTTATGATCATAGTTTAATTGCAACATGTTCAAAAGTTTGTTGAAATTTCTCATATGTGTTTTGTTTTTCTATTAAATTTATTTTTATTTAGGATGATATTATACAAATATGGTCATATAATGTTGATAGATCTTCATTTGTTTGTGTTGCTATGGCTGAGGGACATACGGGTGATGTTGCAGCAATTTCTTTTGCTAAGTTTGTAGATAAAAATTAAGAAAAATTTATTTAATTATTCGAAATTATGTTTTTATTTAGATCTTCAAATGCTTTTATTGTATCGGGTAGTCAAGATACAACAGCTAAAGTATGGTCATTAGAAAATTTAATATTAGATATTAATGAACCACAAAATCTTTCATCTTTATTTACATTAAAAACACATGATAAAGAAGTCAATAGTATAACAGTTTCATTTAATGATAAACAATTTGCAACCGGTTCAGCAGATAAAACAGCAAAAGTAAATATAATATTTTTTTTTTCTTGTAAGAAAATTCAATATTCAAATAATTTAGATTTGGGATATAAGAAATCAAAAATTATTAGCTGTTTTATCTGGTCATCGAAGAGGAATTTGGTGTGTACAATATTCACCTGTTAATCCAGTAAATAGGTTTTTGTTTCATTAAAAATAATACATACATGGTTTTTTTGTCGCATGTTAGGAATTAGCGACAGCTTCAGCTGATGGATTAATTAAAATATGGTCAACGAAAGATTATAATTGTTTACAAGTAAGATTTTATTCAATAAAAATAAAAGAAAATTTTGTGTTTTATTTTTAAATATTTTAGACAATTGAAGGTCATGATGCATCAGTTCTTCGAATCGTTTATTTATCAATGGGTACTCAACTAATTAGCAGGTAGACTTTCTTTTTGCTTATAACTAAAGTCTGATGTTTTATTTAATTTAGTGGTTCTGATGGTCTTTTGAAATTATGGGATCTTAAAACAAGTACTTGTGTGAAAAGTATCGATGCACATGAAGGCAAAATATGGGGAATGTCAGCTTCAACAGACGAAAATCTTCTTGTTACTTGTGCTAGTGATTCATCTGTTATCATTTGGCGTGTAAGTTTTTTTTTTTTATAAAACATGACTACACTAGAAAAAAAGAAATGGATTTTGTAGTTTGAATGAATGTGAAACGAGTACAAGTCAAATTCTATTTCAAAATCCAATGAGAAAATTTTGCGACATGATAAATTACTTTTGAAGTGAAACTTCGCTTATTTTCGAGCTGTTTTACTGTGTTTTTGATCCATCGTAGAATGCTGGAGATGAAATCAAAAAATTCAAAGCAAATAATCATCTTTTGATTTTATCTACAGCACTCTTCAATGGATCAAAAACATAATCAAATGGCCTGAAATCAAGAAGAAAGATCGATGGGTACGAATTATTCTACATGTTTTCTAGTTTTAATAGAACCTAAATAATGAGCGAAGTCTCACTTCACACGTATCTTATCACTTTGTGAGATTCTCTTATGAATAAAACTCTTGAAAATAAAGAAAATTCGAAAAAATATCTACTCTTATGGCTCTGCTAATTTAAAGAAATTCGCTGTTATTTAACGGGATGAACTTCAATTGTTTGTAAGAGACGTTTAAAGAAAACAATCAAAAAAACATTGTTAAAATCTTGTCTCTCATTATGATCATATTTCTTTTAGGATTCAACAGAAGAAGATCGACAAGCAAAACGTGAAAACGTCGAAGAAGTTTTACTTATGTAAGTTAATACTTACATATTTACAGTAACGCCCAAAATTAATCGCCTTGTTTTTCTAATATCTCAAGATGCTTGTAACAGATTGAGTTTTGCGACTTTCGTTAAAATATAATCCTATTTCCATAGTTTATAAGCTCTCTATATTATGTATGTACTGTGTCAGACTAGAAATCTGCCACACCGTTATGAACATCTCTACTAGAAATATTAAAGGTGATGTGCTTTGATTTTACTCAAAATTGGTCATACAAGCACACGTAAAAATATGAGGATAAATTAAGATAAGAAATCTCATATTCTATTCTTACGACTGAGAAGTTGTATCTTTTCTACAATGTTTTGAGTAGGAAGCAAGTGAAACTTCGTTAAACAATTTTTAATATTTTTAGTCTAGCAGAGTAAATGTTCGGTATAGAGCTAATAAATTATGAAAACAAGCCTTCATTTTAGTGAAAACTGCAATTCAATCTGTTGAAACTATATTGAGATACTAGATAAACAAAGCGATGGATTAGGTCCAATAATCAATTTCGAACGCTGCTGTTCTTCGAACATTATTGATTGTTTTTTAATGTCTAGGGAACAAGAAGTATCTAATTTATTAATAAGTAAAAAATATCATGAAGCTTTAAAAATAGCTCTTAATCTTAATCAACCTTATCGAACATTAACAATAATTAAAGGCAAATATATTGTTTTTTTTTTAATATTTCAATATACATAAATGTATTCTTTTTTATTTGCAGAAATTCTTAATGAAATCGATGGAAGAGATCATTTAAAAAATACTTTATTACAATTTTCTGATGATCATTTAAGTCTGTTGTATTATTAATTATTCATTATTTTCTTACTATTATTTTATAATAGATCTATTGTTTTCATATGTTATTGATTGGAATACAAATACAAGACATTCAACTGAAGCTCAGATAATAATTAAAATTTTATTAAGTATTTTAACACCAGATAAAATTTTGAAACTTCCAAATGGACAAAAATCTGTTGATACTTTATTACCTTATACGGGTACAAATTTCGTTTTTGCTTGTTTGTTTCTATTGATTTAATGTATTGGATTTTATATTTATTTCAGAACGACATATGTCACGTATCGAAAGACTTTCACAACAAGTACTTTTTCTTGATTTTAGTTGGCATTCAATGAAATATCTTGATCAATCAAAGTAAATTTTATTTTATTTCTTTTTTTAATTCTTTAGCTTCTTTTTTCTTTTACTTTGTAGTATTTCATCGTCTGATGAACTTCCAACAACAACATAGCGAATATCTTTGTTTTGCTTTATCTTTCGTAATTGCTATGCAACCATGTTTTTGGATTTTTTCATTGTTATCGTTTACAAAAAAAAAAAATAAAGGAAGTTTTTTTCGTTGGAAGACAAAATTGTAGAAAATGATTGAATCCCTTGAATCTCCAATGAAAATAAATTTGCAGTTTACGATGATGGAGCTACTTTTTATGTCAATGCAATATATTTGACAAAGATAAAAAAAAAAATAAAAGATCTAATGACATCTATACGAACCTATGTATTGACGAACTAAAAAATAAACAATTTGTTTATGTCGTTTTTTTTTTTGAGATTTTTATCAACCGAAAGAAGTTACAAATATTTTTTTTGAAAAATATTATCAACATTTTGATTAAAATTAGTACCACTTTTTAGATCTTTTTTTTCTAAAATGAGCACTCCGCAACCCAATAAATATAACACAAATCCACTTTCTGGTACAGGATCGCCAGGAAATGAAAACAATACCTCGGGAAGTAATAGAAAAACAAGTTTATTAAAAACTCGGAACACTAAATTCTTATATTTCCCTTTGTAAATAGAATTGCCATCCTATTATTATGATCCTCAAAAAAGGGGTAGTAACGATAACTCAATGAACCCACAATATGATCAGAATCGTTCTCGGATTGACGATGATAGACGTAGTAATTATTATTCCTGTTTTGATTTTATCATTGCATATACTGATATCTTTATACAGGTACTTCTACTAGTTCCAAAAGTCAACCAACAACTGGCGCCAACATGAACGCTGATGAAATGCTGGGCAAAATTGTACAATTTGGCAAAGACTCATGTACCATCAAAGCTTATTTTCAATGCGGAGAAGAAGAGTTATTTGCACTGGAATGTGAAAGACCCATGCTAGGCTATGATGGTAGATGTCCAAAATGTGGTAGACAACATGTCCCACTAGACAAAACACGTGGTTTTTATGCTGCGGTAAATTCTGTCTACAATTCGCTTGGACAACAAAAATTAGAAAAAGAACGTTTACAAGGTCGAAAAAGAACTGAAAAATTACTCAGTATCACTGAAAATTTACCTCCACTTGATTGTCCAATAATTGGTGAAAATAAAGGCATTGAAGGTGATTCAAATTCATGCTATATGGATGCAACAATTTTTTGCATGTTTGCTTATTGTAATGTATTTGATTCATTACTTCATATGCCAACTAACAAAAATTCCATAAAAAAATTACAAGATTTATTAAGAGAAAATATTGTGCATGTACTTCGACACAAGAAGGTTGGTTTTGTTGAACGTAAGTGTCGTTTAATACTTCTTTCTTTTGTTCAAATTAGTCTTATAAATAGGTGATGCTCTATTTCATTTACGAGCTCAATTAAGTGAAGCAACTGGTGATCCATCATTTAAAGAAGTGGAAAAAGATCCAAGTGAATTTTTACGAGCACTTGAAGAACATTTTCAATATGCACCATTAAAAACTATTCCACCTGATCAACCACCGAATGCAACTGCATCTAATGTAACAACTAATATTATGTGTAAGTTTTCTTTCTTTCGAAAAGTCTTCATTTTAAAAGTTCTCTGCAACTTTATAGGGGAAATGTTTGATGCTAATCCACACAATCTACTTTCAACAACCATTGCTGGTATATTTCGTAATTCACTTTCTGAAATTCCAGTTAAATTAGCAACAATTCCACCTTTCCTTATTTTGGTTGCTCCACGTCATACGCGTTCACAACGTTCTTATCGTTATATTATACCTGATCGTCAAATTACTCTTGATAACGATATTGTACAACTTGTGTGTCTCAAATGTAGAAAAACAAATCATGGTCAAGATCAGCTACATGATTTTTATTCATGTGATGAATGTTATTCGAAAGAATCACCGTCATTAACAACACCAACAACTGACGCCAAGGTTGCATGTTATTGTAGAACTTGCTTAATGAAATTGCATGAAGGTCTATCTCATGACGTTTCTAATCATAATACAAGAAAAATTCAAATTAATAAACATAAACTTAATCTGTTTGCTGTATTATGCATTGAAATAGCTCATTATGTCGCTTTTGTCAAATGTAAAAAACAAGATCAACAAGGTGAATGGCTCTTTTTTGATAGTATGAGTGATCGCATTCTTAATGAAAAGAATATACCTCTTGTCGATCGTGTGCCTGCTTTTGATCGATGGGTTGAAGAAGCCGAACAAAATAAATATTTCTTCCAAGATTTAGATAAACTTCGAAGTCAAGCAAGACCATCTTCACAAAAATTCGATGAAAATGCTATGCGACAATTACGTTTGTTTCGTGATGGTGCTTTTTTCTTCTATGAAAATTCAAGTGTTAATTATCAATAATCAAATATACTGACTTGCTTTGTAATCGAGATATTTTTCTTTTTTTCTAATTATTTTTCTGTTTTTAAGTATCATATTATGTTCTTATTAACTGTGATATAATTATTCATTTAAGAAGCAGAAGAATGCTGGTCTTTATCCGTTCATGGTTTGCTTTTCAACTATTTTTTTTCAGATAAATAAACAATAAGATAGAACGATGTCAAAACAAATTATTGTTTATGGAGGTTTGTAGCTACAGATTATACAAAGAAAAAAATATATATTATCGATTCTTTTAAGTCCAGGTCAATAATTCTGAGGCCTGAATCCGTAAATTTCCGACAGGTTCCCACCGGAAAACTTCCAAGCAGGAATTTGGTGATCAGATACGATGGTTGAACTTTTCTAGTTCTGATCGTAATCGAACAGAGTTAGCGACGGAATTCTAGAGTCCATCGGGTTACTGTCGGACTTGAGTCTGATTTTTTTTCTATTAATCTGGTTCGGGTCCCAAAACTTTAGATCCGATGAGCTCTAGTCGCCTGAGAAATCTGTAAGATGCGCTAGTCACCGAATAAAAAGAACTGGAAAAAAGTATCTCGTATCTTCAGGGCGACTATCTAATTCTGGTTAGAGAATTTCATTGAGTGTATCAAAGACTGGTTCGATGAAATCCAAAAAAGTGTGATCAACCGAATCTGACTCCAATAATTTTGGATGCAACGGACTCTATCGGATTCCTACTTCCAAGTTCGTATCGTTTTCCTGAGTTTTCTCGCCGAGAATAGTCCATGTTTCTTGACCTGAATAAAGAAATAATTCAGAAAAAGCACCACCTGGAAAACTCATATAGAATTCACTATAAAATTCCTAAAATATATGAATTAATAAAAGTTTATTTATAATTTGTAAATATCGTTTTGTTTTCTTAATCATAGGACGTGGAGCTTTAGGTGACTGTTTGGTTCGCTATTTCAAAAGCAAAGATTTTGTAAAGTCTTGTCTTTTTTTTATTTATTTATTTTACTATAAGTATTCTCTTTTATTTTGTTAGAAAGTAACATCAATTGATTTAAAACAAAATGAACAGGCTGATGTTAGTATTATTCTTGGAGATGCTGAAAATCTTGAAAAACAAGCTGAATTCGTTACCGAACGTAAATAAACGAAATAAGAGAAATTTAATTTAATTTTTTTTTTGATGATTCATATAGAAGTTCAATCATCATTAAATGGTCAATCAGTTGAAGCTATTTTAAATGTTGCTGGTGGTTGGGCTGGAGGAAATGTTCGTGATAAAAGTAAATCTAAAATAATTTTTTCTAAAATTTAATACAAATAATTAATTCTATTTCAAAAGATTTTATTAAAAACTCCGATTTGGTTTTTAAACAAAGTGTTAATTCAACATTAATTGCTGCATCATTAGCCAGTAAATTTCTTAAAGAAAATGGTTTATTGACTCTTTCTGGTGCTGCAGCTGCTCTTGATACTACACCAGGTCAGATTATTAAAAAGAACACGAAACGAAAATATACAATTTTCTATATAAATTTTCTATTCAATTAGGTATGATTGGTTATGGTGCAGCTAAAGCAGCTACAATACATATTGGCAAAAGTTTGGCAGCATCAGATAGTGGCATGCCAAAAAATTCATCCGTTCTTACTATTGCGCCGTATGTTAAAGCTTTTTTGTTTTCGATGATGAATCAGACATAAATAAGAGATAGACAAATAGAAAACAAAAAACTTAACGTCACACTCGACTAATCTTATGCAATATGTTATTGTTTATGCATAAAAGCCGATTGTTCTTTTATTATTTAGGATAACATTAGATACTCCAATGAATCGTAAATGGATGCCAAAAGCAGATACAAGTACATGGACACCACTTGAATATATTGCTGAGTATGTATAAAAATAAGAAATATGAATAAAAAAGAAAAATATTTGTTTTTTGTGTTCAGATTATTTAATAAATGGATTAATGACCCATCATCACGTCCAGCAAATGGATCAGTTATTAAATTGACAACAAAAGATGGCAATACTGAACTAAGCTATCATTGATAGATATCTACGATTGAACGCAATTGCAGCCTAGTCTAAAAAATGAACAAATATTCCATTTTTTTTTTTTTTTGGTGATAGTTTTTTTTATTTTGAAATTTTGGAACTGATCATTTCATGATTTATTAATTTGCATTATTGAACCTAATGGTGTTTGTGTCTGAATAAGTCGAGTAGTGTTTCATTTTTTTTAGATTTAAAAAAATCCAAAAATAAGAAAATAATGAATGACCCATTAAATCTAACCGAAATTGGTATTCGTTATTTATCTAATTATTTAATACCTATAGTTTCTAATCAAAATATATATCTATCAGAATTATCATGTTTATCATCGCGTTTAGGTAATTTATTACTTAAAACAATAGTTAATATCAAACGATTAGATTCATCAGACTCAACTGATTATTTTCTTTCATTATTTAATAATATTGGTCAAAAAAAGAGAATAAAGTAAAAAAAGTATAAAAAAAATAGTTTTCGTTAAATTCGTTTTTTTTTCTCGTTACTTAGATCGGAAGTAATTATACAATTAAGTGAACTTTATTTTCGCTCATGTGCATTTATAACAAATCAATCAATATCAAAATATTTATTATCACATGAATTAATTGAAACAATTGATTTACGTGATTGTAATATAACATATGAAATATTTCATCTATTAACAGATTATTTTCCACGTTTAACAACATTATATGTTGGACAAACAGAAAATAAAATAAATGGGAAAATAAATTTAATTGATTTTTTTCCAACAAATAATGTTGATATAAAATGTCTTTTAATTAAACCAAAATTAAAATATCTTTCATTAGAAGGCATACATAATACAACACCAAATGATTTAATTGAAGAAATTTTTTATCATTCATTAATACAATCAAGTGAACAAATACGTTATGTTGATTTATCAAGAAATTCAGCTATTGAAAATTTATCATATATTGATTGTTTTAAACAAATACATTCATTAATACTTTATGATATATTACCTAATGTTATTGAATCATCAATCGATTTAATATGTTGTTTATCAACATTAGTTGTACTTGATTTATCATTTAATCGTCGTATACAAGAATCACAAAATTATTCTAGACCAACAATAACATTAGCGAAATTAATACGATCATTACCAAAATTACTTTCATTAGATATAAGTGGTACAAATTTAGCAGGAGCTTTTTCATTTGATCAAAATGAAGAATTAAATTATATAAAAAAAGAACTTTCAATCGATGAAAATGAGTATATTAGAAAGAAGATTTATATTGATTTTGAATTATTTCGAGAATTGTTTGTTTTTGTCTTTTTAGAAATTTTACAATACAATCGAGTATAGCCGGTTTACTTTTATTAAAACATGAATTAGAATTTCTTGGACTTTTTGATGTTGATGAAAAAGGATCAGCTAGACGATGGTTACCAGCAAAAAAAGTAAGTTTAATTCATTTGAATACTGTCACATGTTGACATTTATCTAAAAAATTGTAAGTTAAGATGAATGTCTAGTTTATTTTATACGTGAGAAATCAAGAAAAGAATAGAGATAGTATCTTCGTAAAATGAAAAAAGAGACAGGAATAATGGGACATATACATGTATTCACCTTGATTGTCGATATCTGCTAGACGTTCGAGGGGCTAGAAATTCGACAGAAGATGCTGTCATTCTCGGAGTGCCAGAAGTAGTGGCTCGAGTGGACGAAGGGGAAAGAACGAAACTCACTGTGACCTACATCTACACCCTCCCCGATCCTATGTACTTCGCAATGACATTGTCTGCCTATTTGTATTTCACTTTCTATTAGAGCACGGTAAATGATTCTGGATTCTGTTCAAAGTTATCGTGAAAGAGAAAAGCTCCCCCTAATCAAAAACCCTGTTATGTACCGTGACATAATCAAGTATTTCATAGAAGGAAAAGAATATATCTAGTGAATGAGCAGCAATACAACGACAGAGAAATGTTAACATATGCTAAAAGTGATAAAAAAAATCACCTGAGTTCATTTGTCATTACATCATAAATATATAAGACAATGTACTAATGGTGAGTTATCAGAAACTCATCAATAGAACTTTCACCATTGGCAAATATATGGTGCATTTTTACTAATTTATGTATAACTTTAGTATTAATTAGAAAAATTTGTATAAACTACAGTCATGATTACAAACATCAAGATACATTTTCATAACATTTGGTATAGTTTTTACAAATATGTTACATTTATATTGTTGTGAGACAATGAATGAAAGCTCACATGACCGTGGCGAAACTATTAGAGAAAATCTTATTGGTGAAAAATAGAATTACCCTAAGGTTTTGTATTATATGGTATGAATGGATCAGATTCAGTGTTTCTACTAGTAGATTTACTAAGCAAAAGTCAAATGTGCACAACATCTGCTATATTTTACCTACACCCTATTGCATTGAAAACAGTGTATATGCAGTACACGTTGAGTAAAACAACATACTGTTTTCCAGTACATTACATAGATGTTTACAAGAAAAACTAATGAATGTAAAGTCTTCTATTATTTTTGAAAATTTTATTATTATTTCTTCTATCCTTCAATAATTCATTGATTAGACTATGAAAAAGAAACAAAAATGTCTATAGTTGGTTTATCTGATATTGATGCTTCCTATAGATAGTATCTACTGGCAAATGAATCTAAAATAGTTTTGGCTCTGATGTGAATTAATAAATGTCAATTTCGATTTCTATTGTAAAAATGCATAGTTTTTACATAGAATATTACATTATTTTCAATATATTTATCAATTGAATAAAAACTCATTTGATATTATCTTATTTAAAAGTTAGCTGGTATTCAAATGAATTGTTAAAATTATAATTATTTGTTTTGATTAGTTGTGCATTTAAAAAAACTTTCAAATAACAAATGAAGAATTCTACAATTGAAAATTTCTATCAAATATAAATGAAAGTTTCAACTAGAATTTCTACTAAAATCTTTCATGTGTATAAAATTCCTGATATTGTTTGTTGTCTTCCCATATTTGTACAATACTTAGCAGTAATGATGATGATAAATTCTGAGAGAAATTTTTTAGCTTAAGATTCACTTTTAGAAACTTTATCTATAATTTAGATAACTGGTGAGCATACTGAACAAATGATAATGACATCTCTTTCGTATTATATGGAACGACCAAGTATGTTAACACATATTATGGCACACTTATTTCGTTTATATAATCATTATACCATTCAAAATCCATATGACGCTGGGAAGGTTAGATATCTATTAAAATTCAAAACAAGAAAAAAACTTGTTTAAATCTCTGATATTTAGTTAGTCATGGATGGCATGGAAAAACATTTATATGATCGTAGTCTTCAAACATCAGGTAGTGCATGTTTATATTATGTTGTGGATTTATTTCAAAATGAATCGGACATAATGTTGGAAAAATATAATAATTATTTAAAACGATTACTTATTACTATACTTAATGCAATGAATGCTCATCTTCAACACTCCCCGGTAAATAGAATAAGACGTTTTTTTATATAAACAAATTTTATAATATTTTTCCATTATATTTAGATGATTCGTAATGGCCTATTAACTATATCTCGAATGCAAATGCATGTACCAAATCATATTGTAAGTAATGATAGTGAAATATTTCAATAGTTAAGAACCAAATAGGGATAATAAGAAGAAAAAGCCATATGTACAATGAATTTGTTGTAGTTAAACGATTTTTGATAAACTAAGTGTTGAACGTATCCGACTGATGTTGACACATTATTGAGTAATATTGGTCAAAAAAATAAAACCAACATATTTTTGTTCTCTATCAACGAAAATTTCATAGATAAATTATGAGAAAGAGAGATTTCTTCAAAACCAAATACGATAGTTTTCGAGTTCAAAAAAACTGTTGAGAATACTATCTTAATGAGCACACCATTTTGAATAAAATGAGGAGTTGCCGCATTTCCTATGACCGTCCTTTAAAAAGTTAGGAACATTATAAAAAAACAAAGAAAATGTAATTTTTAGCAAGACTATGATGAATTTCGCTTTGTCATGGTTATAAATTTTTACGAAACAGCCGTAGGCAATACAAAAACTCCTCATTTTATTTATAATTTTTTATGCTTTAATATCATACTGTGAATAGTGTTCTGAGTCTTGAAAACTATCATGTTTGGGTTTTTAGTAAGCTTCCTCGTCATAATTCATCTATGAATTTTCGGTTGACAGAGAACTTCATAGATTATTGAAACTAATACTCAGATATGAGTTAAATACTTGGCATTGTAGGAAAAAAAAACAAAATACGTTAATCTGATATTGTTGATCAATACTATATTTGTATCTGCATATTATTCAAAATTAAAATAGACATAAGAATATTTGATATCGAGATTTTTTTTTGTTCTACCGTTCTCAGACAAATGTTTAACTGTATCATATTAAGAAAATAAATATAACAGATATCTTTTTTGAATTGTTTAGATGAGTGCTTTTGAACAAACAGTTATTGTTCTTATCAAATTCATTCAACTTTATTTAAATGAGTGTGTTGTACATGAACAAATTTTACTTCACAATGCATTATCAGTACTTAATCATGTAGCATGTAGTGTCGATGGTCAAGAGAAATTATTTATTGGACAGGCTGGTGCTATTGAAGTAAAAGAAAAAACTTTTTTATTTCTTATTACTGATTTAAAAACTAATATCTACATTAGACTGCTGTGGGAATAATTCGTCGATTTTTAATAAAAAAAACTAGTTGTGAAATAGTTGAAGTTGCTTGGACTTTACTATGGAATATAACAGATGAAACAGCTGAAAATTGTCGACGATTTATTGAAGATAATAATGGTTTACAAACATTTCATGATTGTTTAGATTTATGGTCGGATAAACGTGATCTTGTACGAAATATGTTAGGTTTACTAGGAAATGTTGCTGAAGTAAAAGAACTAAGACATTATCTTGTTAATCCTTCACATATGGAGAAATTTAGGTTAGGGAAAAAATTTTTCTCTTCTTTTTTTTTGTTTTGAAATTTTAATTTTATTAATTTTAATTATAAATAGAATTTTATTAAAACGATCACAAGATAATGAAATTGAAATACCATATAATTGTGGTGGAGTTCTTGCAAATATACTTTCCGATGGAATTGAAGCATGGACAATCAGTTCAAGTATTGAACAACATATTGTTAATCAAGAAATTTATGATTCTGTACAGACATGGGATTTACGTAGACAACGAACGATTAATTATCGATCGTTGGCACCTATTTTAAGATTATTGAATGAAAATTATTCAACCGGTTGTATTATGTGGGCAGTTTGGGCAATGACAAATTTAACTACTGTTCTCCGTATGTTTTGATTACAATTTTTAGTAGCAAACAGAAATAGATGACTTTTAAAAGACGACTAATATATTTTTTGAAAGTTTTTTTTCCTTATTGAACATTTCATTTTTTTTGATTTTCATAATGAACCAAAAAAACAAAAACGAAACTTAAGATTTAACTTTGTTTGTTTAATTTCTAGCGGAGAAATATTGTACATTAGTGAGGAATGAAAATGGTGAACCATTACTATCTCAAATTTTACACAGTGATAAAGTGAGTGAACCAATAAGAAATTTAGCTCAAGCAACTCTTGCTAACGTTCAACGGTAATAATAATCTTCTTAAGATTTTATGATTTTCATTTATTTATTTATTTATTTTTCTTATAGTTTTTATGATGCACCAGTTCCCATGGATATTGGCCCTAATGATGGACTTGAAATTTGATAATTTATATGTAACTGTTGTTTTTTTCTTTCATACATTTGATGCAACACACTTTTTTTTGTTTTTACACGTCAACTTTGTCTCTTCTTATTTGTATGTTAACGAACAGTTTTTTGTTTTCGTTTCTTTTTTTTTTTTTGGTTTTTGTTTTTTTCTAACGTATCCTTGTCCGTGTCTGTATGTTTCTTGTGATATTTTCCTCTTAATCACGACCAACAATATGTACAGAAAACAAGAAATATCAATGGTTTTTATAAATGTGTATGTATATATATAGGTATCAGTGGGCTATTTTTTTTCTAAAAAGTTGCAAAAATAAACAATCTTTTTGTTTGCAGTATAAAAAAAAGAGTTAAAAAGACAAAACAATATGTTATTGTTGTTTACTTCATTAACTTTTATCGTTGACGCTTTGGTAAAATCAATCCAATAAGAACGCCAAATGTACGTTCAAATACAGCGTGTGCTACAAATCCAAGTAATAATGCAAATATTAAATGACCAAAAAATAAATAAAGTAATGTTATATCAGTTGCATGAAATAAACTTTGTTGAGCAAACATATAATAAACCATAATCATTGGATGTATTAAATAAGTTGTATATGAAATATGAGCAAAAAATGTAAAACCACGCCATGATAACATACTATCAATAAGTGGTGCAAGACCTTTATAACATGAAAATATAATCCATGCTATAGCTAATGGCCAAGCAATACGTGATAAAACAAAGTAAAGTACATACACAGCAGTAGTCATTGGTGTAGCACCTTCTTCATGATTTCTCCAATTACCAAATATACTTGTTATCATAAAAACAATTGTTAATGCCCAACATAATAAATGATATAGTGGATGTAAATGGACTCTCTTTTTATCAGTTTTAAAAAATATATAACCAAGTACAATACCAATAACATACGGACCAGCACGACAATATGGTTTTATGTAAGTATCTAGAAAACAAAGATAAAAACAAATAAATAAATTTGCTTTTAAATAGAATGTTTTTTCTTTTACCTTCCCATATAGCTTGAAGTGTAGGAAGAATTTGTCCATAACGATAAGTATTTGCAATATTAAATCCTAATATACAGGAACTTGCAATTAAAATTCCAAGTAACATAAATGAACCAATTAATGGAAAATAATATAATGGTACAATAAGAATTGGTGCTATAACAAATAATTGAAAATCATTTGAGACATACCAATAATATCCCAAACATCGTGTACCTCTTCCTCCAGGCACAAAATTGTTAACTAAAAGAAAATAAGCCCACCAATAATGATGACAATCATAATTTTTCATTGGAAAATTGTCTGCTGCCCATAATGGTCCACGACCAATATAAGGTACAACATATATATATAATAAAAATATCATTATATATGGTGGTATAAGACGTAAATAACGTTCAATGTACATGAGTGGCCAAAAATACCATCTAGGCATACCACTTTTTTTAAGCATACGCATTAATGATAATGTAACTAACATAGCACTAATAAGAAAAAATGTATCAACACCATATAATGCATTAATTATAATTTGTGCATCCGCACGTTGTTTTTGTAGATCTAATAAATCAAGTGCATTTTGAGTAAGTAAAAAATAACTTTGATCACCAATATAATTATATGTATGACCCCATACAATCCATATCATTGAAAGAACACGAATACCATTTAAACACTTCATTGCACCTAGAACAAATGATTAAATTCAGTTTCTTTATGATAATGTACTCATTATAACTCATCGAAAGCCTATTTTAGATCTGAACTTTGACATATTCTATCTAGCATTGTAGAAATTATTTAGGGATTAGAAGGGCTGAAAATTTGACAGAAAGTGCTGTCATCCTCAGTGTTAGAAGTGGTGGTCAGTGGAGGAAGAAGGAACCCATCGCAATCTGGCCTCTCCCACATCAGACTACCTACCACCAGGCCGTTTCTAGCTCAATCCTATTCATTTGTCAACAACATTATCTATCAGAGAGAAGCCAATGGTATTTCAAATCCGGTTCCTGTCCGAAACTACCATGAAGCTGTAAAAAAATTAGCAGAAAGTTGGAAATTTGGGAGAAGCTCCGCAAGTGAGAATTCTAATTCTAGATTATATTTTAACTCTTAGAAATTCTACAATTTTTCTTACCTGTACTTGACATTGGTTTAAGAATAGCTGTATACGCCGAAAGTTCAATAGCAATTTGATGAAATTTATAAACAATATGATTATACCAATTTTTTCGACTTTTTAATACATGAGTTCTTTCAGCTTCTGATGGATAGCTAATTCCATGTAATTGAAGACGATTAGAAAATTGATATTGATAAGAATTTAAATCATTATGAAAAATTCCATGTGGTTGTTGATGTGATGATGCAAAATTACATAATGTATGAATATTTTGTATTGATAATGTACTTACAGTTGTATATGGTTTATTTAAAAATGCACGAAAAAAACAATCATATAATGTTGCTAATATAACAATGGCTGTTAAAATTGTTATAAGTACTAATGTAAAATAATAAGGTGCATTTGGTTCAGCTGGACTTTCACATAATACATCATCAACTTGTCGAACATTAGTTAATTGATGAATTGTTAATAATCGAACAGTATTATTAACAACTGATGCTACATCTTCATTTTCACAAAAATCTGGTACGCATAAACCAAGATCAATAGCTGCTAATTCTTCAGGATTACCAGGAAAACCGGCAAGTTGATCACCGGCTAGGGCAAGTAATGATGGATGAGCACGAACTTTAGCTCGACAATAACGTCCTTTAAATTCAAATGAAGATGATGCTTCAGATGCGTTAGATGCGTTAGAATATTTGACTTTATGACAACTATTCCAATTACCAAGCCAATTTGTATTAGCAGCTAAAAGATTTGTTGGTGGTTTTCCACTTGCATCAAATAAGCGAAATGCCCAAGTATTGTCTCTGGGATCTGTAATTGAATCAAACCATAAGCTTAATGCTGCTTTACAATTTTTATCTTTAACATCCTTAAGATACACTTCATTAATATAAGTTCTGGTATTTTGTGGTGCATTACGAAGAAACAATTTAAGAAGTCCGATAGCCATGGGACGATTAACAAAACGTAGTACATAACATTTTAAATCTTTCCAGAAGATAGCTGTTGAACCATTATCTGCTAGAATCATTGCTAGTCGAACAAGATCGTCAAATATTACTTGAAAATCAGCTAAAAAAAAGATTCTTTCAATCTTATTGTTTTTTTTTCGTTTTCTGTAGCTCACGAGGGAAGAATGGTTTATTGTTTGGATCTTCAAAAAGCAAGTACAACCTTTGAAGTCCGAAAAAAATGAGCCAACTAAGTGTTTCATTGTCGGGCAAAATATTAACAAGTGTTTCTATATCTGTTTTATTTTTCTTTTCACCAAAAAGAATCAATTCAATAGCCTCTGTTAAGTAACAATATCGATCACCATTTGGTTGACAAGTACTAACCATAGCCCTTCCTTGATTCCTATCTAGACAAACTGGTGATGGTTTTTCTGCCGTGATATTCATCATTTTTTGTCCATTATTAAATCCAATAATAAAAATAAGAATGATAAATGTAAAAAGTAGAAATTTCATCGAAGGAATAGACATCGACAGGTTACTACACATACGTATGAAATAAGTTTGAATATTCGTCAGTTGTGCCTTTTTTTTGTTGTTATTTTAATGATAAAGATAAAATATGTTTTATCTCGTATATTTCATAAAGAAAGAAGCGCGTGATTTTTATTTATTTAACTATATAAATCTAAACATCAAGCTATAACAAGATGTAACCATATCAAATTCATATAAAGAGAAGCTTTTTTCTCCCTTTTTTTGTCGTTAACGTGTTTCGTTGCATAATTTTGATGGAGTATAGATAGTAAGAACAAAGAAACTTTTTTTTATAGATAATAGTTTATTTTAAGTAGATCATAATAATAGTAAATAAAACTAAATAGGTTAAATTCTGATTTAAGAATCATTCATTAGATGTAAGAATGATAATTTATTTGATAATTAAAAGATCTTTCTTTGAAGAGTTTACGATAAAATTGGGTCTAATGGTTTTAATGGTTCTAATTTCTTTAGATAGAATACTTCCATTTTCTTTTGTTTGGTAAATTACACCAATACTTATGAATATACTCTGTCGAATCCATAATTTTAGTATCCGAATCTGGTTAACAGAAAAATATTCGATCCAGATTGGATCGGGTTCAGATTCGGAACCAAATCAATGCGTGCTCCTTATGAACAATTTTTAAATTATTAACAATGATAGTAAAACTATAGAATACGTAATTTTCTTCTTGATGAATCTTGACTATTATCAGTTTCAAAATAGATATCAATAATTGGTAAGACTTGTAAAACTAACATGATTTACTTTATGAAGATGTTAAATAATTTATAAAAAAAAAACAATTCAGATTTTCAGAAAAATATTTCATAAAAAAAGTAACATTTTACTATTCTAATAGAAATAAGAGATAATATTGACACGAAATAAAATAAAAGTGCTTTTATTCGAATGATCATATTTTTGCGATCTATATCAAGCAAGTATTAGACATAATAAAAACATCAGTCTTTAGTTGATTGTTTGAAAATATTAGAAGCTTTTAGCAGAATTCAGCGAGTACATTTTTATCATATCAGTTGTTAAACTCTATTGCTAGGACTTTTTGGAAAAAAGAATGTACATCAAAGGTTCAGAGCTAAAAGTCGGGATTTATTCTTTGACAGATCCGATCTTTATATGATGCCGTTCATTCTATATTATCTCAGGCAGTAGGCGATTTCTGTCAAGCACGTGGACATGACTTATATTTTATTAAAAACAATTTTTTTTCATGCTAACATTAATTTTTGTTATACTGAAAAATAAGCTTTTATAAAAAAAAAAGATTTTTATCCCAAACCCCTATGAAAAAAAAATTTCATTTTCAAAATTGTGAAATGGTACGTCATTTGATACAATTTACATGCTAATTTCAAATATGCTTTACTTTACTTCTCAAAAGTGCTTGTGTGACAAAGAAAACACTAAAAACCTTTAAAAAATAATGTTTTTTTTAGAAAACCTGTATCTCAGTTTTGAAGTTTTTGCGTTAACTAAGTGTATGTTTCAGATATATAAGAACGTTCTCTGAAAATTTCGTCGATATCGGATTAGTGGAAAAAGTGGGGGCCAATTTCGCTAAATATATTTTTTCGGAAAAAGCGTAGCGTAAAAAGAATAATGAATTTTTCAAAACAAAAACTTAGAGATCGAAAAATTTTCTTATAAATCAACGGAGCAGAAGTCCCAGTTTCAGACTAAAAGTGCTGAAGTTTTACGTGTTTCTAATGAATTTAACAACTGGGACAACATTGTTTTAATCAAAATAACAGGTCATTAATCGAAATGTGTAAGTTACTATTCAAATCTCAAGAAAGTTCGGTTTTATTTTTCCTCCGAATGTCCACGTTGTTGCCCACTGTGTCAATTCACTATCCATTTACTACATTTATAAAGTAAATTGTATGCAATGTTGATTAATACGTATTATTCTGGTAGCTAATCGACTTAACTCAAAGCTTAGTGGATTTCACTGCAACAAGCATAATATTCCAATTTGCTTTTAAATCTAAGTTTGTTCAAATTTAATTGCAAAAGAGGTTCAAAATGAAACAAGCACCTTATAAATAAAAATCTAAGTTTGGTTATATTTTGCTCAATTAAATATTCTTTCGTGGTATTTAGAATTTTGTACTGTTATTTATACGCAAGTGTCCAAATATGAAATACTATTTATTAAGAAATATTATAGTCACCAATATGAGAAAAAAAATGAGCGAAAAAGATTTTTCTGCGTACTGTTAGGTGCGACCATTGGTCGATTACTCAACAGCTGCATTACTGCACACTTCGTTTAATAAAGAAGGCANGTTTGGATTTTTAGTTAAAGTTACATTTAAGAAATGACACATTTGCATTTCTTTGAAGTCTACGTGGAGCTTCTGGCATATAAAGGGTACGAGCGTGGTCGTCTTCGGTAGTGAAATATGTAATAAAGCGTAATTCTCGCATATATGAAAAAAAAAGCTAGCTCCCGTGTCATTGATGTTGAATAATCAAAGTTTCAGCTCGAAATTTTCAATTATTTCCCAAAACATTGTCGCCTTCGGCGGTGAAATACAAAATGAAGAATGGTTTTTTTTCAGTTGCTACTATAAAAATCAATTTGTTCTCATTTTTCATACTGAATTCTAAATTTTATCAGTCAAACTTTTTACGACTGTTCCGAAAATTGGTCGCCTTCAGTAGCATTATCTGTACATTTTTCTTCGTGTAACAAAAGTTGAATTCTAATACAGACATTGTCTTTTTTATGCAAATTAGAATTTTTGCAAATGCAGAAGAAAATTTCGCTGGCAGTAGTTTGAAAATAAATAATACACTAGAGGTTTTTACGCCAGTGAGTGAAAAAAAATTTACCCAACCGGAGTCTGGAGTTCAGGTATGCTCTTGCATCTAAAAAGTATAATGGACCAGCAAAGAAAATATAGCCCAATGAAACTTTGAATTGCCCATGGCAGCCCACTCCTCAAAAGGGCTCCGCTGGGAAATGGCCCAATGCTAAAAGAATCCTGGCTGAGCCACTGCGTATGTGAATGAAATTGTTCTAAATATATATATATTTAATAGTAATAATAATAATAAGAAGAAGAAGAATATTCAAATTATTGTGAAAAAGCAACAGAAAACTGAACTAGTGCAATGTCCTTCCGATAAAACACAAAGCAAATATTATTGCTCATCAGTTCAAAATCTTAAAACAATGAAGTGAGGATGATGATAAAAGTTTTAGTAGTAGATAAAAATACGCCGAGTACCAGCGATGTGTTCAATGCGTTGACTATTCCTCTTCATCAAAAAGGCGTTAGTAGTAATATGTGAAGATGTGTCGAAAATAATACAGTCATAAATGCCTGTCGTCTAACATCGGACTGAACATAATCTTTTCCTAAAAAACAAGTAATACTTGTTCAAATGGTTATCATGTCCGAAAAATAAAATCAGAATGAGATCTGTAAAAATGTTTTCAAATATTTGAGCCTCCCCAAGCCTAACGGCTCCGCCGCCACTGAATTCATGATATCTTACAGTTTCAAAAGTTCTCGATATACCAAATATGTTCTTAAATGATCTTTTGAACGAACACGAAAAAAGGTGAATTATTACTTTCCATGAAAGATCTGGCTGTATTTCTGGAATTCGTTTCTATTTTTGTTTCTTTTGCTGAAGCTACACCACGAGCACAATCTGCACAGTGTATATCGATATCAGTTTTGGCACCTGGCATACTTGGAATTTATTATAATCTTGAAAACGAATTAAAACTGTGCCAAATATACAAGTTCATTACGTAATACACTTATGAAATCCTTAAAAGAAAGATTCGATGGTCTTTTGATCAATCTTGAACTACCTGTTGACGATCATGTTAAACGTTAAAATACTTTCAGTCTTTTCTCTGACGAAATATTCCTTATATCGTATTTTTTGGATGCTCAATTTCTACTTCGATGTATCTTACAACCGATTTTACCTCAAGATAGAAAGTGAATTTCAAATTTATTCGTAAGCCTTTTATAAATATATTTTTTGCTTTCATCGCTCGGTAAAACTCATAAAACATACAAACTTTTTTCTGTAGTTTGAAATTTAAAAACTAGTGTATGTATTTTGTTTAGGAATCATCTATGTGAAAAAATAAAACGTATTGTGGCTCAAGCGGTTTTTCAACTCTATGATTCTAGCACAAATGATCAAAACAATGATTTTATACCAGTTGAATCAATGGCAACATTGGTTGACAACCTTTCGCATGATTTGAAAGATTCATATAATGGCAGCCTTACATCAAAACGAAAGAATCTTTTTTCTTATTATCAAACTGCACAAGCAAGGCTTACAAGTATTATGTGTTCCAGTTCCATCTGCTTCATCTGAAAGGATATTTTCAAAGAGTGAATTACTTATGCGACCTCATCCAAGTCGATTATCGAAAGACATATTATCAAAATTAACATTTACTCAATATAATCTTGATTTGTTGAAGTAAACATTATACGCTTTTCTGTAGAACACTTACAAAAGAATAAATAAACCAGCTGCTTATTGGTATTCGTTGTGAATTTATATCCAGAAATTCTTTTTTTTACAAGTGTAATGCATCAAGTTCGAGATTACAGAGTCTGAGTTGCCTATGTCTGGAGGAGAGGAATGCTTTTTCGGATTAGGACCTATTGGTTCAATAAAAATATCGGATAACACATTACTTATAGATAAAAACAATGTCAAAAAATACGATGCATTCTTACTTAAAATATCATAAAGAAGTGCAATAATTTTACTTTATTTTGAGTTTGTTAAATTTCAAAAAAGCAAATAATTCCGATATACCATAGATGAAATTTCTCATAACTGAAATTTATTTTAAATTAACAGAGAAATGATAACACTATCTGTAACATTTTCAAAAATTTTTCCCATAGACATCCTCATGAATATTGTTGAGCTGAAATATTAACTTTAACTGCATGCTTAGTTGTTCGTCCATAACTTTAGTTTTTAAAACAAAAAGCTCTTGTTCTTTAACAAACTTTATTATTATCTACTAAGCAACAATAATGAACATAGTATTAAAAGCACGATACTTAGCAAAACAACAACACGCATTTAGTAACATCAAGTAAAATGAAGAAAGATAATATAATTAATTATTTGAAAATAATCTTCGAAGAAAAGACAATTTATATTTGTACTACGGAATGAATATTTATTGCTTTATTTAAATAAATACAAAAGAAAAAGAAAAAAAATGCGGAAGATATATATTATATTTATGAAGCAGCCATGTCTTTGAGTTTTGACATTTTCTCATAGACTTTCGTAAAATACTTGACTGAATGTCCAATTTTCGGTCTATACAATGTATCAACATGATGAAAAAGATGATTTAAAGAAAATTCAACATTTTTCATAATAAAAAGTTTTAATTGTTTTTCATTCGTAGTTTGCAATTTTTGTAGCGCACGCTCATAATATTTTAAATGTAATTTAATTAGTTCTACAAGAGCTTCAACAATTGTTTGATTAATTAAAGAATAATGAATTTTAAATAAATCACGCGAAAATGTTAAATAAGCTTTAGCAAATTGTAATGTACTTGGTGCTAAATGTATCTGTATGATATCATTATTTATTGTTATGAATGGTTGAAGAAATTTTTGGCTATCAAGACCTAATTCATGAAATTCAAAATATAACTGCTCAAGACGTTCATGTGAGGGTAATGTAATTGGTGTCCATTTTTCATCACGATGTCTTTGCCGTAATGTATCAATAATAACATCTTTTTGTGTACTTATTATTTGTATTAATAATTGTTCGAGTTGTTCTTCAAACATAAATTTAACATCGATTAATTTTGATGAAAATTCATTTGCTTTTGTTAATAATATATCAATATTTTTCATGGTAAAATTAAAATTTTTTGTACTGATATATTGTTGATTATGTAAGATTGTTATTAATTTTTCTATTTCTGATGACATCCATACAATAAATTTTGTAAATGTCGATTTTTGATCTTTAAATATTTGAACAAATTCATAATAACTATCAACTAGACGAGTAAAAAATGTATTTGCAAAATTTTCGACAAAAACAACATTTAATTCTTCTAATTTTGTTTGTTTAAGCGTACTTTTCATTAAAGATAATTGAATAGTAATGAATAAATCACTAAAAATAAATCAAAATTTGTAAAAAATTGTTTCTACAATCTAAAGGTTTTTCTTGTTGAATTACTTTCTATAGAACAATAATCTCATTCAAACAAGAATTAATTTCAGTCGTTTCAAAGAACTCGAAGGTAGATACTATTTGAAAGTCTTCTACTCTGAAATAACAGATAAAAATCATGGGAAACTTTAAGAATTAACAATAACAACTACAGATGTGCGAGACAGAGACCAAGATCAGAACTAGAAGAAAATAGTGGTTCGAGTTGGGACTGAAGATTATAGTTACATATTCTATGATTTTAAGTGAATTATCTAATAAATCATATCAATCAGAACATAATTCAAGACAGATGATCCAAAACAGAGTGCTAGTCGTTGACTGTATGAATAAAAAAGCAAATAATCAAGAATTTTTCAGACGTAACACTAATAAATCCGAAAATAATTTTCTCTAGACTAAGATCGGGACTAGATTAGATTTAGTGACCATACCTAAGCCCAAGACCAACTATTTTTTATCCTGAATATCTCTACTGACAACCATAATAATAAGAAAACTTTATTGCTAAGTTACATTAGTATTCTTACTTGGTTTTGACTTCTAGATTTAAACAAACTGAACTAAACTCTTTGAATGAATGAATAGTAAATAAACTGAATTCATTTAGAATAAAATGATTATACAACAGCATTAGATATCATATTTAATGATCTAAGTATGTAGAAAATATTTTATTAAAGTTCTATCAGATCTTTTTCTAAAAGAAGGAATCATTTTCTTCTATTAATTTTCTTAATAATTTACCAAGCTTTAGGAACATGACCAAGTTTTTTAAGTGTTTGTATATGATGATAATAATGTTTTAATAAATTCGTTGAACAACCTCGTTCACAAATATTTTGAATTTCTTTTTCAATTAATTTACATAATTCTTGTTCTTTCATTTGAACACCTTTGATGTATTCATCAACAAATGGTACTGTTTGTTGAGAATGTTGTGCAAGAAAATCTTGGACATATTTTCTTGCACGAAGAATTAGTTCTAATGCTTCATCAAAATTTCTTTCAGCTAATAAAATAATTAAATTTTCTTGTGTATTTGTTACCCAATCTTCCGAATAAAATTCTTCTTCGAATAATTGTTGTTGTTGCTGTTGTTGAATGGTTGATCGATTACTAACTGATGATGATGATGATAATGTTGGTAGAAGTCCTGGATCAGTATATAGTAATGAACCACGTCGTTGTCGAGGATAAAGTGCACTTTCAAACATTTCAAGCCATTGTTTTTTACTATGAGCATTTTCACACATCATTGTTATTGTTTCAAGATTGTGTTTTATTGAAAATGAATTACGTATTACATCATCTTTAACATTTATTATTTGGATCGCTGATGGTTGAATTTGTTTATGTTGATTTGTATTACGATCATTATTTATACCAGTTGACGTTTGATGTAAATTCAAAACTTGATCAACATCATATGCTGTTGCTGTACGAATATTTGATGATTTAGCAATAATAAAATAATCGGTAAATAAAAGACCATAACATTGATGTGTAACAAATGATGGTGGCATTTTTGTGTTTCCTTTATTTTGACTTTTTGTTGAAGGATTCTCTAATTTAACTTCAAGTAATTTACCACTATGAATTAAACGACGTTCAGGATTTGATGAAACAAGACCCAAACTTTGACAATGATGTAAAAGTGTCTCCCAAAAATCATTATCTGATGCATCATTTGACTCGGTCTAAAAATTTTTCAAAATGAACTATGAAACAACTGTTATCACAACTATATATTTTATTCAACATTTCTGATTAACTGTATAAGATGAAATGTTTTATGTAGTAAAATAGACAGTTGAATTTAAAGAAAAATTGTTGTTACTATGAGAATATGTTGATTTAAGAATCTTTTTTTTTGCATAAAACTATCGAATATATGAAAAATAGCAATGAATCTATTGAGAAGTATACAGGATTTATATCATATCATTATGTGTAAGCTTTTCGTGTTATTTCACAAATAGCACAGTTTATATATAAGATGATAGCACAAATAAGAAAAACATCTAAGAAATGTTAATTCATCATCCACATTAAAAAGAAAATTGTTAGCACAATCACTGCGGCATTAAAAGGTGAAACATGGTGTAGCTGCTCATGCTAATCAAGGTAAATTGTTTTATATTATCTATTCTGGGAGATATTTTTCCATCATCTTTTTATTTAATTGCCCAGAAATGTAATAAGAAAGTAGTTCATATATTATAACGAGGCATTATTGATATATGATGGTTTTTGATGGTATAGCAGCAACGTCTGTCACGGTATGTGACGGAGAAGGGGGAGTTTCGCCAAGACATCTGTCATGATCTTTGATGGGGAGAAAATATTGCTGCTGAGGCATCTGTCACAGTCTTTGACTGAGACAGAAGAATGTCACCAAGGCACCTGTCATGCTCTTTGACGGAGAGGGGGAATGTTGTGAAGACATCTATCACGGTCTGTGATCAACTGCTTTTAACATATTTGTCATGACTGTCGTGGATGGAGGTTCAAATCGCTACCTCTATACTTTAACACTCTTTTAAGATCATTTTTCACAGAGAAACTATGTTGTTTTTTAATTCCGAATTGAAAGACCCTTAAAAAAGTAAAACTACATTAAAATCATCTATGTAAATCCATGATCTTTCATTTCTCAAAGGAGTATTTCACATACCCATAGAGATTTTAAAACAATTAGAATATAATTCATTCTACTTCATACATATTGTTAAGATCCTCAAGAATTGTTCTGTCAAAATTTGTAATTTGAATCTTAAATTTTATTTTTTTTCCCATGAATTTTTTTTCTCACCTTATTTTCGACATTTAATAATTCTTTCACTGTATTCAATAATTGTTTTTCATCAGCTAATAATGAATGTAATTGATAAACTTCTGATTCAAGAGATGAAACTTCTTTAGCTGTTTCAATAAACTTTGTATGATTACGATAAACATTTTGTTTCAATTCAGTTTTAGCTTCACTAGAAATCAAATGCATACGTCGTTTCATATTCATCAAATCTGTACTACCAATCGATTTCGATGCTAAAAAACAAATATGATAGGTAAAAGTTTTTAAAAAAAAAAATTATTTTTTTCAATTTACCAATCGATTGTACGAATGTTTCTGGATCGAATCTTGGCTCCAAAAACCGAGCTCGAAATGCTGGATCTGCATCACTAAATTCCATAAATAATCTGAAATAAAATAAACAAAACAAAACTAAAAAAATACTTTAGCTATTTCTTTCTTTTAAATAAATAATAAAAAACAAAACAAAAAGAATCAATGGCGAACACCAAATATCAAACTTCCAACACGAACAATAGTACTTCCAACTTGAATAGCACGTTCATAATCATTTGACATTCCCATAGAAAGTTCTATATCATTTATTGAAAGATTATATTTGTCACATAATTCTTTTCGACATTGAATTAATACTTGAAAATCAGAATCATCTTCTGTATTAACATTATCTAATGAACCAATTGTCATTAAACCTTGACATATTAAATGCGTACAGTTCAATTTAATATGTTCATATAAAGATAAAAAATCTTTTCGATCAATACCAGATTTTTGTTGTTCATTACTTGTATTTATTTGTATAAGAATATTTAATGTTTTAGATTGTTTTTGAAGATTATTATTTAAACGATCAGCTAATTCAATTGAATCAATTGTTTGAATACAATCAAGATTAGGTACATGTGTTAATATACGGTTTACTTTATTACTTTGTAAATGACCAACAAAATGCCAACGTATATCTGGACATTGTGTTAGAATTAAATTATCATTTGATTTTTTTTCTAATTCATCGGCATAATTTTCTCCAAAATAACGTTGACCAGCATGATAAAGTTCAACAATATCTTCAACTGGTTTTGTCTTTGATATAGCTATTAAGCGCACTGATGATTGATTCAATTGAGATAACTCTTTAATACGTTGTAGAATGACTTTCAAATTATCTTCTAATTTGCTCATTTAGAATTTTTATTTAAAAAAGAAAAATGCCAAATTTTTTGTATCTGAAAATAGATATTTGATTATTGCAGTTTGCCTTTTTCTTTTCTTTATCAATATAAGTTTATTTTGAATAAAAGTATCTTCTTTCTACTTTGAATATATATATGTATATGCTTGCATGTCATTCTTATCTATCCTAGCTATCTATCTTGTCTTTTTTTTTTCTTCTTCTTTCGCTTGTTGTCGAATGATGTCAAGAAGCTATTGCAGGTGCTGTATACTATGGGCAATTTACATGTTAATGCTTGCACGATGATTCTCAAATAAACAAACAGCAAGAGACCGGCAACACCTGATGGAATAAAGACAAGAAGAGAAAAAGGAAATTGGTCTTCAATCGAGCATGAAATCGCCCTCTGGTGATGATAGGAACAAGAGAAAAAGAGAACGATGGAGACGCTCATTATCTGTCCCAATCAAATAGCAGAAGAAAAGCGAGAGAGAGAGAGAGAGGGAAGAGAAGAGAAAAAAGCAACGATAGTAACAGCAGATAAATCATCCTGTTTACATATATCTATTCCTTCAATGTATAATATCACGATCAAGCATCAGCAATAGTCCACTTGTAACGATATTGGGTAAGTTAGCTCGTTTTCTTTTCTTTTTTTTTTTGATTCGAACATAAACCAGTACCATACAAATGTCCATACAGGCACACACATGTCAGATAGAAAGATAGATACGTTGCACAGTTGCGCACACACACATCCCATCTTTTCAATGTCGGAAGCAAAAACAGCAACAGTTAAGTTGCACACACGCGCGCGCGTATGGTGTCTGCATCGTATCAACTGTCTTTTTCTCGTCTTTCTTTTTCATATGCGTATATAACTTCGACCGAAAAAAAAAAATAGTACAGCTGTTCAAAACTCAATTCTCATCATTATCGTCATCATATAACGGGTAAGGTTACGTATTTGAAAAAAAAAATCTCATCAATATTTATATGTCCATCTGGTCATGAGTTCTGGAATTTAGTTTTACTTATTTTATAGAGACAAAACAAAAAAGCAAATACATATACACGTTTCTCAAGGGAAGAAAAGACAACTTCTGACCAAAAATAGAAACATATGCCATGCAATGAGATAATTTTTAACTCATGTCATGCGCCTGTGCACACAAACAGATGTCCATTTTCGACTCATTTAGTAAAGTTGTATATAGGATTGTGTGAGAGAACAAGAGAGGAAGAGAATGAAAGAGAAAATGATTGATAAAAAAGACTCATGTACTTTTTGTTTTTATTATGAAAAGAAAATGAGGTAAATTTATATTTATCTATTTTGTCACATACTGTTGAAACGTAATTGAAGAGAAAGATGATCTTCTATACAAAAGCAAACGTGTTTATAATAAAGAATAATAATAATGATAGATTAGATAGCATATAATGTGTATGCGTTTTCTCTTTTCTCGTTTTTTCCGACGATCGACAGACATCCAGATAGAATAGATAGACAGCTGGACAAAAAGAGAAGAGAGACGAGATTCTATTGAATGTTGTTGTAACTCGAGTAGACGATACAAAAAAAAAAAAAATGATCGACCAACTTATTGCTATATCTTTATTATTATTTTTTTTTTCTATTATAGATCATCACACACACAGTATGACATCTTCTCTTAATTTACATAATGATGATAATAATAATAATGAGCTTGAAGAAGAATTTAAAAAATTAGCATCACTCGTTCCAACAATTCCAAAAAATCAATGTTTAACTGAATTAGAATTTCTCGAATTTGTTATAGCTTATATTCAACAATTACAAGAACTTTTATCTCATGATCAATGGAATGAATGTCTTAATCATTTAACAATATCAATGAAAAATTCTTTTGTTTCTTCCTCATTAGATACAAATCTATTAATAAAAAATGAAAAATGTTTTCAACGTAATCCATTATCAACAATTAATCTTGATACAAACATACCTCATCATTCATAGAACAGTTTTTATCAAAAATCGAACAACAATAACAACAAACATTTCTAAATATTGTCTCACTTGCATGTATAAAATTCTTTTTTTTTGTTTGTTTTTTTTTTTAAATTTTTTCATTCTAATTGTAAATCTTCATTGGATGAAGGTTTTTCAAAATACTGTTCTATTTCTTTATCAGAAACAGTTTTTAATGAATTGGGTTTCCATTGAGGTTTGTTATCTTTATCAACCAGAACTTAATTAAAAAAGAATAAAGTTTTTTTTTTTTTTGTTTATTAAATAAATATTTACCGGCTCGAACACCTTCAAAAAAGTCATGACCTTTCATAACATTTTGTACCATACGATATTCCATAATCAAACAATCTTTTAAATTTAAATTTTTACCACGTTTTATTTGTTCAAATGTTATTTTAAGTGATGTTGGACTCTATGAAGAAAAAAACGAAATTTTCGAATACAATTCAAACGAAAAAAAAAAGCAGTAAGAACTAACCATTTTTTTAAGAATTGCAAGTTGTTTTAAGGCAAAATCTGAACCATTGGATTTTAATTTTTCAAGAATGATTTCAACAGCTTCTGTATCAATTGAAAATAATTCATTGATGAAAGATAATTCACGTTCTAAACTAAATCGTTCTTGTGAATCGGTCTGTTAATAAACACACAAAAACAAATGTATTATTGTAAAGAGTATAATCAAATATTTGAATTACGAGACATCATCACATGATGACAAAAAAAAAATGGAAAACAATGTTTGCATTTTTTTAAAAGGATGCTTAAAAGTGAATAGACAATGCAGTAAAACGAAAGTTCATACATATTGATGTTATTCTAGAGAAAAAAGTAATGAAAATAATGAAAGAACTTCTTTTAGTATAGGGAAAGATATTTACGAGCGAAGTTCGTCAATTGATAAATTGCTTTTGAGTCGAGATTATGTACATTATGGAGATCCTAATTAGCTATGAATACTTTGAATAGAGTTCGTGCCTTTAGCTTATTGCTGCGGAGATATGGTACTTTTACGATATTTTTGAAAATGAATGACATGGTCTCCCTCAGGAACACCAGAAAAATTGATTTTTGGAATTTCGACTTGAAACTTTACATAGAGAGGCAGACTCTAACGAGAATAGGTTTTTTGTGCATGCTGCTATTTCTATTCTAAGAAACAGCTACGATAATAGTATGTCTTTTACATGGCTTATTCTTTAAGATCTGTCTGTATGTCAAGTTTCAAGTTGAAGTTCGAAAATAAATTTTTCTAACGTTTCTGAGAGGAACCACGGCATTCATTAAAAGCATACCGTAAAAATATAATATCTTTGCAGCAATAAGTTAAGAACACAAACTCTTTTGAGAGTATTGATAGCTTGTTTGAGTCTACACAATGCATATTGTCTCGACTCGAACGTGATTGATTAGTTGTAGAGCTTACCTTGCTAGTGATATATCTTTGGATTTGAGAGCTTCTACATACTATTCATAAATTTTTCTTCATGAAATGAAGATATTAATTGTAATCTGTTACGACGCATGTATAAACACAGCAAAAATCAGACATTACGAGAACGTGGAAGGACTAATTGCATATACTTTTGTCACTATAAAGCTCAACATTGCTCGAGAATAATCCTGCGATAGACGTTAGTTTTGTAATTACGTGCGTCAAGGAATAGAACCAAAATATCTCACTTAATATATCAACTTTGCTGTTAGATTGAATTTTACAAGAAGTCAAATGTAATTTTTGCTCTAACCATTTCTAGATTTATCAGGATTGTTATGTAAAGGTTGAAAAAAGACTAGTTTCTAAATATCAGAAATATTGGCATCTTTCGTATGAATATACATCAATCCATATAAATTCTACACACAAAAACGAATATAGCATTCAAATTATTGTTTTGAATTCTTCAATAGACGTAACAATTATCTATTCTTATTGAATATAATACTGAAACAGATTCTCTATCATTTTAATTCTTACCAATTTAGCATGTTGATCCAAAAATGTATTGACAGATTTATGATCTGCGTTTGGTATTTCTACAAGTTTTCGTTCGATTTCTTCTAACTAATGATTATGAAAAAAAAAGAAAATTCAATAAATAATTCATTTAAAAAAATATTCACTTTATTTGTTGGTACAAAATGTGTTGCTATACCAGCATAAAAATTATCAATACCACGTAAACGATAACCTGTTAATCCAAGAAATACTCCAAGATTAGATGGTAAACGTGGAAGAAAATGTGATCCACCAACATCAGGAAATAAACCTTCAAAAACAAATTGAAATTCATTATTTTCTATAATTTCAATTTCATTTACCAATAGCTGTTTCAGGCATAGCAATCGTTGTTGTTTCTGTTGCTATTCGAAATGGTCCATGTACAGACAAACCACAACCCTTAAAAAAACCGAAAATCCTAATCTTCATAAAATTCTATGTAAATCGACTTACTCCACCCATTGTTATACCATTTATAATAGCTACATATGGTAATTTATAAGTTCCGATAAGATGATTTAATTTATATTCTTCACGAAAAAATTCTCGTCGAAGTTTTTCACCTTCTGATGTTTTAGCCAAAAGAGCTAGAAGAAAATTTTCAAATAAAAAAAAAATTCACAAGCAATATTTTACCTTTGATATCTCCACCAGCACAAAATGCTTTTGAGTTTGTACTTTTCATAATAACTAATTGAGTTTTACCATCTGATTCCCATTCCTAAGAATTAGCAGTTGTTTTTTTTAATAATTATTAATTAGAAGAAAAATAAAAAATTTATACTTTCATCTTTGGATAAATTTGATGGATCATTGGTAATGATAATGCATTTAAGGTTTTAGGTTTATTCAATAGAATAATACCTGTTTTATTAATATAATCAAATTTCACTTCATCATTTGTACTATCAGATTTTGTTTGTTGAACATTTTTATTTAATGTTTCTTCCACTTTTGGAGTTGATAAATGAATATTAACTCTTGGATAAATGCGAGAAATACTGAACTGTTTTACTAATGTTCGATACATGAATAAAAACAAAATAATCTTTAGAATAATATTCGTATGTATAGTCGTCGTAGTAGTCAATCAAATATAGAGAAAGAAGAAAACGACATCTATAAAATAATTGAACCATTCAGATGTTATTACTAAGGCCAATGTTTACCATAACTAAGCCATGTTTTAATCTTTGAATAATTCCTTACATGAGATTATATCAAGAAAATCATCATGTCAAGTTTAGTTGAGAATGATATTAATTCTGCTGTTTATCGTTCAACAGATCCGATAAATAATTTTAAAATTCGGTAAAAATAAATGCCAAATCTTAATAAATTTCTTATGGATTATCGTTTGTTTGCTATTTAGAGTTAAATTAGAACGTTTAACATCAAGTGCATTATTACCTAGTTTACAACGAATAAAAATTGAAGAAGATTTATCCCGTTTACTTAATATAGATGATAAACAACCGGAAAAAGCTAAAGCTTCAAAAACAGATGTAGCTCAAGCATTAGAAGAATCAAAACGATCTGACTATGAAGAAGTTGTTATTGGTTGGCAACAGAAACTATTTAGTCGTGTATGTGTTTTTTTTCCTGCTTACTGTTTAATTAACTGTTTTCTATTTATTAGCTTGAATTTGAGCAATATGGAAAAGTTACTGGGCCTGACAGTTCAGCACTTGAAAGAAAATATTTTGATGATATACAAAAAATGAAGTACAATAATTCGATGATAATAAAAACAAATAAATTTTGTTTGTTTTTTTTTATTTTTTAGAGCAAATCGAAAACAACCTGGACGTATATTTACTTATATTGAGAATGATCCATATTGTATTGCAAAAGATGTAAATATATTTATTTTAGTTTTTGATTAAGATTATTTTATTTGAACTTAGCTTGACTATTTTGTGACGGATTCACCAAATGAAGAACCAAGTCAATTATCACTAGGAGTTAATAATATTCGTGAGTATTGGAAAAAAATTTCTTCTCTGAAATATTGTTTGAATCTTATCGAAAGTAGAAAAATTGATATCACTTAGACAGAATAATAGAGGAAGATAATCTAACGATTAACAATAGTTGAAAATTGCATAATATAAAAAACATATTAATAAGAAATTTATTCTTGGTATTCATCGACGAACTAAAAATGAGAAATTTCAAGTATGAAACTTTGCTATTCGATATAAACGTTGTCTACAGTAATTTTTGTTTTTCGGTAATAGTCATGAAGTGCTTAGTTTAGTTTAAAATTAGAGGATCTTAACGATTAAAAATCTTCACATTTTGATTTTAATCGTTAATTTTTTGTACTCGACTACGATTTAATTAGTTAGATCAGATAATTCGTATTTTTCTCTGCGACGCATAATTCACGTTCAAGATTTTATTATATAAAAGCTTCATAGACTAAACAATGATCATTTGAAATTATGCAAGAAAAAGGAGAATCGATATATTTCAAGAATGCAGTTACCATCTACTTTAGCTTTTTACAGATGACCCTTAAAACGAATCCAATAATCTAGCCAATCAGACGATTGCTGATAAATGTTAACATAATTAATGTTATTACTTACTAGAGGAATTACCCCAATGGTAGCCTACCGTTTGAGCTCATATATTGAGCCATAGTTGTTGCATTGAATTTTCGATCCGAAAATGAAACTATGTCCATAAATAGATCTAATGACTTTTAGAATATCGTGAAAGTGTCAATTGAAAATAATGTTTTTTTGTCGAGATATTAAATTTTGAAGGAAACTCAATTTTTATGACATGTTTGCGGCAAAACGAATTTTTCGGAGGTTCAAAATTTCCCCAAAGAAACATTCTTTTAGGCCAAAACTGTCAGGATATTCAAAGAGTCATCAAATTCATCTATCGAAAAAATTTCGAATAGAAATTCCTTTAAATTTTTTTCAGTAAGAACCGTAAAATAGATTGAAAATTCAATATAACGGCTATGACTCGACGCCCATGGAGACACATTTTTACGCTTTTTCTAATCTTACCGAGACCTCATGGTGATCTCAAACGGTGGTTTACAGTTGGGATAGTTCCTACATTAGAAACAATTTCTTTCGATCGATCAAAATTATCAATATAAGATTATAGAATGACCTTGTTTCATATGTGATTCGATAACCTTTCAACAAAAGACAAAATCTAACATTTCATTAATAATGATAAAAAAATATTTCTAAAACTTTTCTTATAAATATCTTTTGTTTTTAGGAAAACGTCGTGCTGTTCAACCACGTTTTAAAATAAGGTTTGTTGAAATTAATAAAGAGAAAATATTAAAAAACAACTTATTGAAATATTCATTTAGTGACGAAGAATACTTACCAAAAACAAATCTTATTAATCGAAAACCAACACCTGATGATCTTCGTACAAATCATTTAGCTTCGTTACCACATCAAACAATGTATATAATGGCTGACTTAAGTGATATTATTAATACTGCTACAGCACAAGTTCTTGTTTTACCTCAACCGATAAATGAACGTGTTTTATGTACAATACAGGTTTATTCAAATGGTACAATTGTATTAGAACCTGATTTTAATAATGGTAAAACGGCATATATTGTTGAAACAGGAAATATAAATAATGAAGTATATCATTATTATTTGGAACATGCTTCAGTATTAATAAATAAGGATGATTTTACAAAAGAACGAAAATTATTAAATGAAGTTCGTTTAAGAAAACAAACACATTTGGCACAATTAGTTGGAAATGATTTTGAAATGGTAAATTAAAAAGATAAATTTACATGATGAATTTTATTTTTGTTATTATATTTTAGCCATTACCTGCTGTTCTAAGATTAAATGTATTTGGTGAAATTGTTAGTGGAAAAAATTTTGAATATGATGATCTTTATGTTTATTATTGTTTAGATTTACCAGAAAGTAAATTAATAAATATTTTCTTCATAAAGAATATGTCATGAATTTATTTAGATTGGCGTGCTGAAGCTTCAATGATTTTTTCAGGTTATACTCCTACAGCAAGTGCAACAGAGTCAAGTAAAAATGTAAGAAACAAAAATTGTAGAGAAGCTTTTTTTTTTAATTAATGACAAGTTTCAATTGATTACATGATAACCTATTTTATTTAGAATTGAATGATGTATATCGATGCAGTCTTAAGGAAAATAGTAATTTTAAAGAAACAAGCTCGCTGATGTTATTATTATAAATTATTACCATTAGGAAAATGAGCTTCAGGCGTATGTCATTAGAAGATCTTTACTATAGTGTCCGATGATTTTGAAGTTCCACTGAAAAATCATTCTCATTTTATGTTTATATGTTCTTTTACTTTTTTTTGTACATACTATAAATTGAAATAGATTGGTCATATTTTTACCATTATAAGTCTCCACTAGTCCTCCACATATGTTGTATATCTTACATTTTCATCTTGTATGTGTGTGTCCAATCGCTGTACAATATCTAGTATAGTGATTTTCTCGTCAAGTAGTAGATAATTCATCGCATGACTTCTTCAAGAAATCCATTGATATACTTGTTCAAATCGTTATATAACTGAGACCATTGAAAAAAATATTTGCACAGAAAAATTAGGCATAGGTTATCATATCGTTACACTACATTTTCGTCTTGACTATTTTAATTTTTTTTTGTATTTTGACAGTATCTCATTAACCAGCGTCATCTATTGATTTCTCTAAAATCATCAGCATAATATTTTGTACAAATATTATTAAGATCTTCCTGAGTAGGAATATATATAAATCTTGAATAATGATCCAAGTATAAAAAAATCTTCATATAGTGCATTTAGAAATAACCATTGAAAAATAAGCACATTCCATGCATCCATCAATCAGTAGATCATACTAGTGCAAATTTAATTTTCATTCTTTCATTCAAGTTTGTTTAACATATTTATTATACGCTACGTTTACACAATACTACATACTAACATATTTCGGAATAACTTTTAAAGTTATTCTTTCTTGCTTTTATTATCAGCTTTCATCAGATACTTTCATGTAGTATAAATTTCACTCTGGCAGTGCATAAACTAATCTTTCTTTTTCTTTCTGTCTCGTACTTTAAATACATTTGTTCTATTTTGTATTAGTACAGACTATTAGATACGACAGTACTTTTTCAGATTACACAGATCCTTTACCCTTTCATAGTACTATATCAGCTAATGTATATAATCTGAAAAAGAGCCGATATGCCAACTTCTGTTGTGTGCGTCTCTATTTAAAATCATCTTATCACTCCTCACAGTATTATAACAAAGCGTGGAATGTATATATACTTCATTTGGACTTTTATTTCATTGGACTATAGTCAATAAAGATTGAAATTGTGCATTAATTAATCCTTTCATAACGGGTGGTACTTGTATGTATCACAACCATTTGTTTTTTTGCACAGGAAAATATGTGATGCATTAACGATAGACAATAATTGCGTCTGTTAATTGTACTGACATACATCTCATGTTGTTTGCTTGATCATGCTCGATTTTTGAGCTCACAGGTTTTCGCCTACAAGGTAAATTTGACAAATATGATAGGCATCAGCATTTAAGAAGAGGTGGATCCTCTAATGACACATCACTGAGACTGACGACTTGTCATTCATCAGCAGAGGAAGACGACAATGTTTTTTCTGTAGCACGACTGTCAAATGATAAAAAAAACAATCTCATATCTATACAAATGATCAAATTGCATGGCAAATTGTTCTTTGAGATTAGCCTACTTTAAAAGTATATTAATAAAGTGAACGAATCCTTTTGTTTTGGGGAGAAAACGATACAACTATATAATGTCTTGCTTCTTTTTAAATATCATTATCTCTGATTGCTATATGACATGTATTTATATATTATTTTCGAATAAGGAATTCAATTTATTTTTTTAGGATGATATCGTTTATTATTCGCATCCATTCGAATTTGAACTTTGGTATATGCCATCGATTGATTCAGCTGATCATGGTGAGCAAGAATGAAATATGCAATCTTTTCTTTCATATTTATTCTTATATGTTAAGAACTTCCTCAAATGCCAAAAATCTATTTTCAAGTTGCCTCACAAGATGGATGGGGTCGTCATCGAACAGAAGGATATACATATATTGATATTCCAAGTTTTCCTGGTTAGTTTCTTCAAGTTGTTTTTTGTTTTCGAAACAAAATTATTTTCTTTATTAATTAGGATTTTATGATGAAGAATTATCATGTTGGCGACCACGTGGTGCTTCAATATTTAATGAACTTCGACGATTTTTTATTGGTGGTTCAAATGAACTTGAAGATATTAGTTATGTTGCTATTCCGAAACAATTTCAAAGTGAAAAAGTATTAGATAATTAATTTAATTTTAAATTAGAAGAATATTTAATTATTTTCATTTAGAATAAAAATCCATTCAGTCGTTTTGGTTTTCGTACTGTAACAACAGGAACATTAAACGTTCGACTTAATGTTATTTTTCAATCACAGTATGTTAAATGAAAGATGAAATTTATTCTAAGAAAAGAAATATTTTCATTATTCAGTGTTTTATCTAGTATGAAGGCAGCGCCCTTCTGAAAAAGAAAAAAATAGATAAAACAGTATTATTATTCATTACTTGAAAACTAGTAAAATTTGTTCACTTATTTTTCAGTTCGGTAAAAAACCTATTCGTTTTTAAGAGTGTTACAGAAAGTAGTGTGGTCGTTTGCTGAAAAATAAGTCCTCATACTTTTGTAGTGTTTACTATTTCATTTCTAAATTTCATCCAAAAATCTTAATGCAATCAGGAAGTAATTTGTGCTTATTTTAATTAGAGAAATTGCTCTGGAATATGGTAAAAAACGTGGTGCTCATGAAAGACGTCATTATGGGTATGTAATCTGAAATGAAATAAGTGAAAAACATTAATTTTTATATACTTTTTTAAAAATAGATTTAATGCATTCATGTCAAATATTAATACAACTCTTGGTAAGCATAAATTTCATTATTTTTTTAAACTCAATGGATTATTAACTGCTGTCACACATTCAAAGAAAACGCACCTAATTGTTGCTAATCAATAATTAATAAAAGCAATTTTCATTCCGACAAGTAATAGGTTATACAGTTAAATAAAAGAAGAAACTGTTTCAACAGTTTCTATCAATAAATAAATCACAAATGTTGTGTATAGAGGTCATGCTCTTTTCCCGTCAATGTGAATTGATGCACAATAGTAGCTTCTGCACGTCTGCGGCAAAATACCTACACAGTATACAGTGGTGTGAATGTGAGTTTTCAGTTCACTCACACCCGATACCTTGCCAACAGAATATTCTACAGGTCGTTGAATCTATCTATAGGCGAAATTTCACATCGAAAATCGGTCTTTTTATTTTTCAGTATACATCTAAAGCTGAGTCGAACATTTAGTAAAATGATCTTAACTCGATTTCTAAGGCCCATGCAGATAAACTTTTTCTAAGCATATTCTACTCTTACGAACACCTTCTATTGAGCTCAATAATAGTTCAAATAGTGGGAATGAGTTCTAATGGTTTCTTCGTAAATTATAATGAAAGTTTTTCTATAACTCGAAGCATATGTCAAAACTTGAAATCTTAAATAATATTGATTTAAATTCAAAAAAAGAAACTTCTTTTGATTGTCTTTTTTACATATGACTTTCTTGAATACAAATATCAATAACTCGAACAAATATATAAAATTCCTTTTTTTAAATACTATTTTAGATGCATACGAAAATGCAAAACGACGTGCATTGGAAGTACGAGAATCAACATTAAAATTACTTACACCAAAAGTACCTGCATATGAATGATTCGATTCATCATCGACAATGTAGATTACAGTCAGATGATTTTTTATTCTGTTTTACAGTGACGATAACTTATGCGCCGTCCATTATAGTTTTTTTTCTGTTGTTTTTATTGTCTAGTTTTCTTTTTGTTTTACTAATCTGTAACAATAATTTTTTCTTCATCTTCTTTGAATTCCATTAAAATCAATTTTACATATTTATGTAAGAGGGAATGAAATTTGTTTTTGTAGAAAAAAAAAAGGAACAATGCATCTTCGATCGATTATTCGACATCGAACTGTTCTATCAGCATCGTTTCGTATTCTTCAAAGTTATACGCCAATTGTTTCAAGTAAGAAAATATTTCTGATTTTTGTTTTAAACATTAAATTGTGACTGATCTGATTATTATTTGTAGGTCAATCAAATTATCATCATTTGATTCTTCAAAAACCTATTGGTCGTACATCAATACCCATTCAACGTTATTTGGCTACAAATAGTAAACCAGAGAATGTTACATCAGTACCACGTAAATTTGAAAACGACATATTAATTTTTATGTATTAATTAAATTGTTTTTGTTTTCATTAGATACGGAAAAACATCAATTTCAAGCTGAAACTCAAGAATTATTGCATATTGTTGCCAAATCACTTTATTCAGATAAGGAAATATTTATACGTGAATTAATTTCTAATGCAAATGATGCATTAGAAAAATTACGTTATGTGCAATTAGCAGCAGATGGTGAACGAATAGATGATGATAAACGTGAAATTTATATTTCAGTTGATGATATTAATAAAACATTAACAATAAAAGTAAGTTAATATGATTAAATCTGAAGAAAAAATCAACATAAGTTATCATAGGATTCGTTTTCAAAAGTTTAGAATGAAAGAAAAGAAAAATCGTGAAAGAGTTTCCTGTTGCCGTTCGAGCAAGTAAACATGTAAGAGAAGATCGATAGATTGTGAAATATCAAATATTTTTCTTCTTCGTTGAGAAACGAGTGATTTTGCTTCTGAAAATCTTCGACTTTTGTCTATACTAATGATGATTATCATTTCAACTATGTTGATTGAGGTTTTGCTTCTTTTTTAATAAATCTATTTGAAAGGAACATTATTATTTTTATCTTTAGGATACTGGTATTGGCATGACAAAAACTGAAGCCATTGATAATTTAGGTACAATTGCTCGATCAGGTTCAAAATTATTTTTAGAAGAATTAAAAAGAGAAAAAGGTGCTCTCGATGAAGGAAAAATTATTGGTCAATTTGGTGTTGGCTTTTATTCTTCATTTATGGTAACACAATTTTTTTTTCTCTCTGAATATATATTTCATAAATATAATAAAGGTATCAAAATCAGTTGAAGTAATAACTCGATCATATAAAAAAGATGAACCTGCTTATCGATGGACATCTGATGGGTATGTTTACATTTCGTTGTAATTTAATTGAAAACAAAATGTTTGAATAGATCTGGTTCATATGAAATTGAAACTTTACTTGATGATGTTGGTCGTGGAACATCAATTCGATGTTATTTACGTGATGATTGTGCAGACTTTAGTAAAGAAGAAACGGTTAAACGTAAGAAAAGAAATTGAATAAAAAACAAATTCAACTAATATTGAAATTCTCTCTTTAATAGAAATCGTAAAAAAATATAGTAATTTTGTCTCAGCTCCGATCTATATCAATGATGTTCGTGTTAATAATCTTCGTGTACGTTCTTACATTCTCTATTATCAATAATAATTTATATTATTATTATTTTTTGCTTTCGAATAGGCTTTATGGATGGAAGATAGTAAATCAATAACTGAAGATGAACATACTGAATTCTATCGTTTTATTACTGGTCAATATGATAAACCACGATATACATTGCAATATAAAATTGATGTACCCATCAATGTAAGAGCACTTATTTATGTACCGCAATATAAACCAAGTTTGTTGACAAATTATTCTTTGATTTTTCATTTGTCTATCGAGTTTTTCTCTTTCGTTCTTTATTGTAAATAGATATATTCGATGTAACACAAGAAGCTGATGTAGGTGTTGCTTTATATAGTCGAAAAGTATTAATTCAATCTAAAGCTAATCAACTTTTACCACGATGGCTTCGATTTGTTAAAGGTAAAATTTATATCTAACGAGCGATATTCGTAATTTGCTTGTTGGCCATGAACATGCATTAAGGAGTAGCTATATAATAGGCTATTTGTGACTTAAGGCAGTCTCTTTTCTGTCATTTATCTTTCATAATTATCTCACTAGCATATGCTAGCAAGGCGATTGAGAAAGATAGATGACAGACAAGAGACTGTCCTTAGCAACAAATAAACTATTATATGACTAAGTTTTATGCATGTTCAGAACCAACAAGCGTATTGAGAATATCGCATATGGAAATAAATCATTAACATTAATTATTTATCTTAGGTATTGTTGATAGTGAAGATATTCCATTAAATTTAAGTCGTGAACTTTTACAAGACAGTAATCTTATTCGGTTAGTTTTCTTTTCTTAAATATATATATATATATAATTTCTTCTAGAAAAATTCGTTTATTATTAACACAACGTGTTATACGTTTTCTTCAAGAACAAGCTAAAAAAGATAAAGCTAAATATCAAGAATTCTATGAAGATTATAAATTATTTTTTAAAGAAGGAATTGTTCGAACAGCTGATCAAGGTGAAAAAGAAGATATTGGTAAATTATTACGTTTTGATTCATCACGTGAAGAACATGGAAATTTAATTAGTCTTGATGAATATATTGAACGTATGTTACCAGATCAAAAACATATTTATTATTTAGCTGGACCATCAAAAGAATTATGTGAAAATTCACCATATTATGAAGCTATTAGACAAAAAGGTTATGAAGTTTTATTTGTTTATGAATCCCATGATGAAGTTTTACTTATGCAATTAGCGGAATTTGATAAGAAAAAATTAAAATCAGTTGAATCTGAACTTGAAACTGATACAAAAAAAGATGATGTTATTCTCGAAGGAGGTAAGATATATATATATATTTTATATATTAAATATTTCAATTGCACACTCTATGAAAATTATTTTTTTCGAAATTAATTTACCAATGATTTGAGTATTGTTTTTTTCTAAAATTATTTTCGTTTTCAATATAAACTCATAAATAACATGATCTTCATGTTGAAAACTTTATTAGGATTAATGGTTAGTGAAAAGAAAAAAAAGAAGAGAACATTCCACAGTAACAATAGGAATGAATGATTTTGAATCAGAATCAGAGCAAATCATGATGTAGTATAGAAAAAAGGAAATGAAGACTAACGATGCCGACACAGTGCAGGAAATGAACGAACTGATTTCAATCGGAAAACAGGCGTCTTTACAAGTGTCTAGTTATATATCGTCCCTTGAAATGACTCTTTTCTTTTCAAAAACTAATTCATTATAAGTATCTTTTCAGCTTTATACAGATAAAATAACTGCAGAAAAAAAAACAATAAATGCAATTTTTGATGTCATTCAAGATGAATCGATCCTCTAATAACCCATTCAACATTTTCACATGAGAATGACTTCGGTCAAATTTAACTATATCATTTTTCTAATCAGTCCTTGCACAAAATATTCCTATGGTTGATTCAACATTAACTCTACTGGATCAGTGCCACGGGGATAAAGAGTTAATACTAAATATAATTTATATGGAAATAAAGATTATTTCTTATGAGGGCATAAATTAGTTTTTAATATAGTTTGCAAGTCATGAAACATCTCTATTATTTATATATATATATATATATAAAGAAAGCTAGAATTAAGATTAAAACATGTCGTTTATAGAATAATTATGTTATCTAAAGTGTTTTTTTTAAATTTTTATCATACTTTCTATTATAATACATTAGACTTTTAATTTTTAAAGTGCTCTTATATGAGATTGATGCAATAAAAAACAATAATATTTTATTGAATTGTTAGACAGAATTGATCTAAATACTTTATTAAGACATGATCAAAACAATGAATTTTTATACAATATTAAAGTCGATGAAGATTAGGATTAATATAAATTATGATGAATATTTATTTTAATATTTTATGAAACGTGATCTAAAAGGATTATTGAAGTAGAGACAGAATTTGAATCTATTCCGTTCATCTCTGCACAGATCGTGATAGACATTGTTGATATATATAGTCAAAGACCGTCTGCCAATAATGTTTCATTTTAATATATGAATTTCTTGCTTATAGCATTTCCGGAGGATTAAGTAAAAGGATAATGAAGAAATATATTCCAAAATAGATATAATAAAGCAATCTCCTGTGATTAGCAACAACAGCAGCTATATTATGTTTTATATTTTAATCCCGTAGAGATTGTGCTAACAGTTTTTTGAAAAGAAATACGACAAGAATTCGAGATATAATGATTGTCATTACATAATTATTTTTATACAATCATATATATGCTTATCTTGTACACCTTCATGAATGTAGTTCATAAGAAAGACATTTTTTTTTTCTATTGATTAAATTTATTTAGATACTCGTAGTTTAACTCAAGATGAAGCAAACACATTAAAACAATGGATACTTAAACAATTTGGTGATAAAATCAAAAATGTTAAAGTAATTATTTTTTTCTTTATATTTCTGTAAAACAACAAGAATGCATAAAAGTCATTTTTTGAACCATCTTCAGTTTTCATTCATTCACAATTTTTTTTCATGCAGAAGTTTGCGAATAATTGTTTAGTGACAAATAAAACTATTTGTAAAGTATTTGGATCTATTTTCACTGAAAATATTAACATTCACCTATGCATCATAAATGGATGTTTCATACAAAGAAGACTTCATCGCTTAAATTTTCTCACAGGAAGTCATTTCGAACGTAAAACTATATCAATCGACTAGCCTCAAACAAGCATGAAAATCATTTGTTTATATGAGTACTTTTGCTTACTGTTTCTCAAGCAAGGAAAAAAGAATAGTAG